GGGAAGGAGCCGGGGCAGCCGGAGTGACCCCTCGCTCTCCCTTCCCAGCCAGCGGTTGACTTCTTCAGCAGCCAGGTGATGATCCACCCGGTGACGAACCGCCCGGCTGACAAGCGCAGCTTCATCCCGTCCCTCCTGGAGAAGGAGAAGGTAAGAGCCTGTCAGTGCCAGCTGCCCCCAGCACTGGGCCTCCAGCGCTGGGCCCCCAGCCAGGACCCCCGAATCCTGGTGCTGACCTTTCTGTGGCCTCTCCCTGCTCGGCAGGTCTCCAAGCTGGTCCATGCCATCAAGATGGGCTGGATCAAACCTCGCAAGCCCAAGGAGGACACGCCCACCTACTATGACCTCTGGGCCCAGGAGGACCCCAACTCCATCCTGGGGCGCCACAAAATGCACGTGCCGGCCCCAAAGCTGCGGCTGCCGGGCCACGAGGAGTCGTACAACCCCCCGCCCGAGTACCTGCTGAGCGAGGAGGAGGTGAGGGGCAAGGAGGGGGTGCTCTGCGGATATTGGGGGGCTCATGGGGCTATGGCGGGTGCACTCTCTGGGTGGGGAGCTCCGGGGGGTGCTGCGGGCAGGTTCGGCATGGATGAAATTCAGTACAGACGAGTGCAAAGACCCCCGTGGCAAGGGGTTGGGGTGACAGCGGCTCCCACACTGAGCGTGACCCAGCAGTGGGGTGCAGCTGCGAAAGGGGCTACGGTCCTTCCGGGGTGCACACGCGGGAGGTCACTGCCCCGCTCTGGGCAGCCCTCAGCTGGGCTCAGGGCTGTGCTAGAGGCCGGGGATCAGCGGTTCTCCGGGGCCACCGAGGGTGGGACAGGAAGTAACGGGCTGAACCTGCCGCAAGGGAGGTTTAGGTTAGAGATCAGGAACAGGCGGCCCAGGGGGGCTGTGGGGTCCCCGTCACAGGCTGGACAAACCCCTGCCAGAGCTGGTCTAGGGCTCCTCGGCCCTGCCCCACCACGGGGGGATGGAGTCCATGGCCTCTCCAGCCCCATGTTTCTGTGATTCTGTGGCTAGTGCGGGGAGCAGTTCTCTGGGCCGGGCCCCTTGGCACTGCCACGGGCTTGGTTCCCAGGCTCAGACACTCCCTCTGCCCCTGGCAGCCGGGCTCTGGGCACCTGGGCCCCCCCCGGGGAGGGGACGGAAAGCAGATCCCCTGGGGACCCAGCAGGCTGTCCCCAGAGAGGTGTCTGGTTTGGGGGCCGGCTGCTGACCTTTGGCCTTTGCCCTGCAGAAGCTGGCCTGGGAGCAGCAGGAGGTCGCGGAGCGGAAGCTGAACTTCCTGCCCCAGCAGTACCGGTGCCTGCGCGCGGTGCCAGCCTACGCCCGCTTCATCCACGAGCGCTTCGAGCGCTGCCTCGACCTCTACCTGTGCCCGCGCCAGAGGAAGATGAGGGTGAGTGTGTGGGGGGGGGTGACTGGGGTGCCCCAGGCCACTGGCCCAGCAGAGCCAAGGGCAGGAAACCCACCGCACACACCACACACACACACAGCTCACGAGCTCTGCAGTACGGCTCCTGCTCGCTGCCCCTTTACGGAGAGCTGTCGCCCTGGGGCCATGTGGGTGCCCCGCTGACTGAGTGGGATACAGCAGGCCGTCAGCAGTGTGCCCCGTCCAGTAGCCTGCTGCCCGGCCCCCCCAGGTGGGGCAACCCTGTGCCCCCTGTGCGCTACACGGGCTTGGTTCTCTTGCAGGTGAACGTGGACCCGGAAGACCTGATCCCCAAGCTGCCGAAGCCGCGGGACCTGCAGCCGTTCCCCACCACGCAGGCCCTGGTAATGCCCTGTGGTGTGTTCAGGGCTGGGGGCGAGGGGAGAGGGCACACGGAGGAGAACAGAGACCGGGCTGTGGCTGGGGCTGGGAGTGAAGGAGGCTGAGGCGTCTTAGTTAGGCTGGAAAGAAAAGCTCAGAAGGGGACAATGAGATCTGATGAGAGCCTCCTTCCCCATCCCAGAGCACAGGCCTTAAGGGGACACATAGAGACCAGGGCAGCTGTGGAACTCCCTGCTGCAGGAGGCAATCTAGACACCCCGTCACTAGGTGTATAGAGGAGAATGACCTTGACTCCTGATATTTGAAGCTGTGATAAGGGGCTCCTCATCTGGGACGTGAGCCAGTCCCATTAGGAATGGGACAGATAGTAAGACAGCAAATATTGTCATGCCCCTATCTCAATCTCTGGTGCGCCCACACCATGAATACTGCGGGCTGGTCTGGTCGCCCACCCTTAAAAGAGATACATTAGAATAGGTTAAAGTAGAGATTAGGGGCATGGAACGGCTTCCGTATGAGGAGAGATTAATAAAACTGGGACTTTTCAGCTTAGAAAGAGCTGGCTAAGGGGGGATATGATAGAGGTCTATAAAATCATGACTGGGGTGGAGAAAGTGAAGAAGGAAGTGTTATTTACTCCTTCACATAACAAGAGCCAGGGGTCACCCAATAAATTTAATAGGCAGCAGGTTTAAAACAAACCAAAGGAAGGATTTCTTCACACAACACACTGTCAACCTGTGGAACTCGCTGCCAGGGGATGTTGTGAAGGCCAAAAGTATAACTGGGTTCCAAAAAAGAAAGTTCCTGGACGATCGGTCCCTCAATGGCTATTAGCTGGGATGGGCAGGGACACAACCCCCTGCTCTGGGTGTCCCTAAACCTGACAGCCAGAAGCTGGGACCAGGCGTCACTTGATAATTGCTCTGGGCTGTTCATTCCCCCATGTGCTCTGGCACCGGCCCCAGCCAGAAGACAGGACCCAGGGCTAGCTGGACTGTTGGTAGGGGCCAGTCTGATGTTCTCATGGACCCGCCCCTGCCCTGAGGTTCGGTGTGGCCTGGGGCATCGTCCTCTGAGCAAGAGAAGTGGTGTGCTGCTGCCAGGACAGACGCCGCGGGTGGCCAGCAGCAGTCACAGCTCTCAGACCCCACCGTGGGCCTGTCCGTCGCTCCCCAGCCTCCCCCACTCCGCTGCCGTGGCCCGGGCTCATCTCTGCCCCCGGCTGGAGGCTGCTGGGCACGGACGCTGGAGCAGCCTGGGTGGAGCTGCTAGCCCTGGCGTCAGCGTCCCGGTGCCCTCGCAGCTGCCCGAGCCCGTTAGCCGGGGGAGAAGGGCACCTGGAGTCCCCAGCCGCCAGGCCAGGGCTCATTCCCGCGTGTGCAGGGGGGTCCCGGGCGAGCTGAACGCCAGCGAGTGGCACTGGCAGCTCCTCACCCGTCTCATTGTCTCCACCAGGTCTACCGCGG